AAGGTGGATGTTGCAGCTATGCATTAAGAGGGTGACGTCTTGCAAAAGCATTTTGGGCCTCCTGAATTCCAAAACCCAGACGAGTATTTGTGTAGTGTAAAACAAACGGGGTCGGTCCACGAATATCGACAAGAGTTTGCAAGAAGGTCATCCAGTATTTCAAATTGGTTTGATCACTGTTTGCTAGGTGTTTCTTTGAACGGGCTGAAGTAGGAATTGAAAGCTGACGTTCGCATCCATAAACCTCGTACTGTTTACAAAGCTATGAGTCTAACACTCGAGTTTGAATCCAAAATGAATCATTCCCGTCTAGAGAAGAAAACCTTGGAATTCTCAACTAAAACCCGATTCCAAACCTTTTACCCGTGTCAAACTCGTCTTCCCTCACAAACCCACAGAAAATCGAACCAAAGTCTAACCCTAGAATCAAAGTTGCAGAAAAACAAAACCGGTTCCTACGAGGAGAATGTTTTAGATGTGGGGACAAATATGGTCCGAGTCATCGATGCAAAGCCGGCACCTTTAAAGCATTAGAAGCAAAAGATAGAATTGATGAACAGCAGGTAACCGAGAGCACAAACATCGATAACAAGCAGGAAGAATCTGTTGAGATCGGCCTACATGTGATCCTCGGGAAACCAAACTCATCTACCATGAAGGCTTCTACTGAAGTTTTAATACTAGTGGATGGATCATCGACACACAAATTAAATCAAAGATGCATCTTTGTTAACAATGTGGATATCATTTGAAAATGAGTAGTTCAGATAGAATCGAACTTTTGATCGATTCGGGCACTTGGGAGCCTATGGATGAAGACATGGTCTCTCTGGATTCCATTGAATTTCATTCGAAGGAGGAGCCTAATAAAAATCATATCAACTCTTATCAAAGAAAGACAGGATTAACCGAGGTTGTTCAAACAGGCAAAGGGCAACTAAACGGTATTATAGTGTGTGCTTCCAGAGAGGCACACATGCAAGAAGGAAGTTTGAGCTTAATGCAAATGGCTGAAATATCTTTCTCCTTTATACGATTATCAATCAAATAAAAAGTTATTCTATGTACCAATTCTTACATCTCTACCAGTGTTGTCAATAGCGACCATAACGATCGCTATAGCGAATAGCGAGGCGAGGCGATGTAGTGTCGCTATGGGATTCATAGCGACTGAATAGCGACATAGCGACCTTTTTTAATTTTTTTTAACTTTTAAATCAGGTATAAATAGACTTGTTTTAGGGTTTTCAGTTGACTAAGTCAAAGAGAGCATCGGATATCTAAAATTAACACTTGTTTTTTTTGTAGCATGCGTGTTTTACAACTTATTTGAACTAATAGTCTTGGTTTTAGCTTACTTATTAGTTATAATCTCTAATTAGGTGAAGATAAAAGTAGTATTAATTTTCAATAGAAATTCGCTAAAAATGAAATAGCCGTCGCTATTTCATCGCTATCGCTACATAGCATATAGGTAGGTTGTCGCTATTACCTCGATATCGCTATTGATAACAGTGATCTCTACTACCGGTGGGGTGACAGCTAGTTTTGGTATGTTGGGGGATATCATCATTGTCGAATTTGCATTTATAAAAAAATAAAAATAAATAAATAAATAAATAACGATTAGACTCTACACCGAGGGATCTCCAATGGAATCACGACCAAGACGACCATCCTGAAACCTTCCATGTATCCCAGACTCTCAAAGTCAGGAAGACTCACAACGATGTAACCCAATAATCTAACTATAGTTTTATTTAAACTTTATACCTTAATTAGCCTTGCGAGCTAAAATAACACAGTTCTTAGTCAAAAAACCAGAATACGCATCCTTAAGTCGAAGCAGCAGTAGGCGTTGCGTAGGAGCCCAACTCTATGTCTTCACATGGTAGAGAATGACAAATATCATATCACATAGTTCTTGTGTCAGATTTGTTTTTGTTGTGGCTCTTGATTTGATTGAACTTGAATTTGTATCTTTGTCTTCGTTGTGGCTCTTCAATCAACTTTTGAATTTTTTGACTTGGGTACCAGATATGACAGTTGTACCCTTATTTTCTTTTCAATTGTGTGAATCTGATATAAGGTTCTCAATTACCGCAAGGGTAATGCGTGTCAACAAATAGAAACATGTTTTGTGGGTTCAGACTTGTCGATAAATGTTCTTTTTAAACATTCAAAAGCAAATCATTCTGAAGCTGTTATTACTGCCCACATAGTGTTTCAGTACGCCATTTTTTTATTTTCTATGGCCAAGGTATCATATCACGGTTTTTTGCGTCCCCTAGTTCCAATAACGATCCAGTCGCTTCGGACTTTCATTTTCATCTTTGTAGAGCTATCGAATGTAAAGAGTATCCTCATCTCGTTTTTTTTTTAATATAAAGGCAGATACAAACATGCAGAAAATAAGACTTTTTAAGTTAAAGAAAACAAAAGGAAAATATATTTTTTGTTTTATATAAAAAACTAAGATAGAAGTGAAAAAACTAAGAACCAAAATGAGAAATCTTTTTTTATTTTTAAAATTTTTTGATTTTTTTTAAAGAAAAATAATGTAGAAAAATCAAAATTTTGTACAACACAAAAAGATTATAAATCCCCTCTCCAAGCTTAAAATAAAACATTGTCC